CATTATTGCTGCTTACAGTTTATATATATCTATAATAATATTCAAAATAATAACAAAAAACTACAAAATTTTGTTAAAACTACCAATTCGGTGGCAGCAACCCAACAATGGGTTGTTCGATTCGTCTGAAAATTTCAGGGCCGATAGATCTTGACCAATTAAACAATTTTACCCCATGTCACATTTGCTCTGAAAGATTTAGTTTTTGAGATATAAGCCAAAAACTACATTTGACCCTTATGTTCTATTTTAGCCATTACGGCCATGTTTGTCGATTGATACAAACTTCGGATACAGTTTTTAAACAAGATACCCTAAGGAACATTTAGTTAAAGTTTGAAGGTATTTGGCCCAGTAGTTTCAGAGGAGAAGATTTTTAAATGTTAGCAAACTTGATGATCAAATTGTGTAAAATTGTCTTTAAAGGGCAATTACTCCTTAAGGGGTCAATTGACAATTATGGTCCTATTAACTTTTTTGTAGATCTTACTTTGCTGAACATTATTGCTGCTTACAGTTTATATATATCTATAATAATATTCAAAATAATAACAAAAAACTACAAAATTTTGTTAAAACTACCAATTCGGTGGCAGCAACCAAATAATGGGTTGTTCGATTCGTCTGAAAATTTCAGGGCCAATAGATCTTGACCAATTAAACAATTTTACCCCGTGTCACATTTGCTCTAAAAGATTTAGTTTTTGAGATATAAGCCAAAAACTGCATTTGACCCTTATGTTCTATTTTTAGCCATTACGGCCATGTTTGTAGATTGATACAAACTTCGGATACAGTTTATAAACAAGATACCCTAAGGAACATTTAGTTAAAGTTTGAAGGTATTTGGCCCAAAAGTTTCAGAAGAGAAGATTTTTTAATGTTAGCAAACTTGATGAACAAATTGTGTAAAATTGTCTTTAAAGGGCAATTACTCCTTAAGGGGTCAATTGACAATTATGGTCATATTAACTTTTTTGTAGATCTTACTTTGCTGAAAATTATTGCTGCTTACAGTTTATATATATCTATAATAATATTCAAAATAATAACAAAAAACTATAAAATTTTGTTAAAACTACCAATTCGGTGGCAGCAATCCAACAATGGGTTGTTCGATTTGTCTGAAAATTTCAGGGCCGATAGATCTTGACCAATTAAACAATTTTACCCCATGTCACATTTGCTCTGAAAGATTTAGTTTTTGAGATATAAGCCAAAAACTGCATTTGACCCTTATGTTCTATTTATAGCCATTACGGCTATGTTTGTTGATTGATACAAACTTCGGATACAGTTTATAAAGAAGATACCCTAAGGAACATTTAGTTAAAGTTTGAAGGTATTTGGCCCAGTAGTTTCAGAGGAGAAGATTTTTAAATGTTAGCAAACTTGATGATCAAATTGTGTAAAATTGTCTTTAGAGGGCAATTACTCCTTAAGGGGTCAATTGACAATTATGGTCATATTAACTTTTTTGTAGATCTTACTTTGCTGAACATTATTGCTGCTTACAGTTTATATATATCTATAATAATATTCAAAATAATAACAAAAAACAGCAAAATTTTGTTAAAACTACCAATTCGGTGGCAGCAACCCAACAATGGGTTGTTCGATTCGTCTGAAAATTTCAGGGCTGATAGATCTTGACCAATTAAACAATTTTACACTGTGTCACATTTGCTCTAAAAGATTTAGTTTTTGAGATATAAGCCAAAAACTGCATTTGACCCTTATGTTCTATTTTAGCCATTACGGCCATGTTTGTCGATTGATACAAACTTCGGATACAGTTTATAAACAAGATACCCTAAGGAACATTTATTTAAAGTTTGAAGGTATTTGGCCCAGTAGTTTCAGAGGAGAAGATTTTTAAATGTTAGCAAACTTGATGAACAAATTGTGTAAAATTGTCTTTAAAGGGCAATTACTCCTTAAGGGGTCAATTGACAATTATGGTCATATTAACTTTTTTGTAGATCTTACTTTGCTGAACATTATTGCTGCTTACAGTTTATATATATCTATAATAATATTCAAAATAATAAAAAACTGCAAAATTTTGTTAAAACTACCAATTCTGTGGCAGCAACCCAACAATGGGTTGTTCGATTCGTCTGAAAATTTCAGGGCCGATAGATCTTGACCAATTAAACAATTTTACCCCCGTGTCATATTTGCTCTGAAAAATTCATTTTTTGAGATATAAGCCAAAAACTGCATTTGACCCTTATGTTCTATTTTTAGCCATTTTGGCCATGTTTGTTGATTGATACAAACTTCGGATACAGTTTATAAACAAGATACCCTAAGGAACATTTAGTTAAAGTTTGAAGGTATTTGGCCCAGTAGTTTCAGAGGAGAAGATTTTTAAATGTTAGCAAACTTGATGAACAAATTGTGTAAAATTGTCTTTAAAGGGCAATTACTCCTTAAGGGGTCAATTGACAATTATGGTCATATTAACTTTTTTGTAGATCTTACTTTGCTGAACATTATTGCTGCTTACAGTTTATATATATCTATAATAATATTCAAAATAATAACAAAAAACTGCAAAATTTTGTTAAAACTACCAATTCTGTGGCAGCAACCCAACAATGGGTTGTTCGATTCGTCTGAAAATTTCAGGGCCGATAGATCTTGACCAATTAAACAATTTTACCCCTGTCATATTTGCTCTGAAAAATTCATTTTTTGAGATATAAGCCAAAAACTGCATTTGACCCTTATGTTCTATTTTTAGCCATTTCGGCCATGTTTGTTGATTGATACAAACTTCAGATACAGTTTATAAACAAGATACCCTAAGGAACATTTAGTTAAAGTTTGAAGGTATTTGGCCCAGTAGTTTCAGAGGAGAAGATTTTTAAATGTTAGCAAACTTGATGATCAAATTGTGTAAAATTGTCTTTAAAGGGCAATTACTCCTTAAGGGGTCAATTGACAATTATGGTCATATTAACTTTTTTGTAGATCTTACTTTGCTGAACATTATTGCTGCTTACAGTTTATATATATCTATAATAATATTCAAAATAATAACAAAAAACTACAAAATTTTGTTAAAACTACCAATTCGGTGGCAGCAACCAAATAATGGGTTGTTCGATTCGTCTGAAAATTTCAGGGCCAATAGATCTTGACCAATTAAACAATTTTACCCCGTGTCACATTTGCTCTAAAAGATTTAGTTTTTGAGATATAAGCCAAAAACTGCATTTGACCCTTATGTTCTATTTTTAGCCATTACGGCCATGTTTGTCGATTGATACAAACTTCGGATACAGTTTTTAAACAAGATACCCTAAGGAACATTTAGTTAAAGTTTGAAGGTATTTGGCCTAAAAGTTTCAGAAGAGAAGATTTTTTAATGTTAGCAAACTTGATGAACAAATTGTGTAAAATTGTCTTTAAAGGGCAACTACTCCTTAAGGGGTCAATTGACAATTATGGTCATATTAACTTTTTTGTAGATCTTACTTTGCTGAACATTATTGCTGCTTACAGTTTATATATATCTATAATAATATTCAAAATAATAACAAAAAACTATAAAATTTTGTTAAAACTACCAATTCGGTGGCAGCAATCCAACAATGGGTTGTTCGATTTGTCTGAAAATTTCAGGGCCGATAGATCTTGACCAATTAAACAATTTTACCCCTGTCACATTTGCTCTGAAAGATTTAGTTTTTGAGATATAAGCCAAAAACTGCATTTGACCCTTATGTTTTATTTATAGCCATTACGGCCATGTTTGTTGATTGATACAAACTTCGGATACAGTTTATAAACAAGATACCCTAAGGAACATTTAGTTAAAGTTTGAAGGTATTTGGCCCAGTAGTTTCAGAGGAGAAGATTTTTAAATGTTAGCAAACTTGATGAACAAATTGTGTAAAATTGTCTTTAAAGGGCAACTACTCCTTAAGGGGTCAATTGACAATTATGGTCATATTAACTTTTTTGTAGATCTTACTTTGCTGAACATTATTGCTGCTTACAGTTTATATATATCTATAATAATATTCAAAATAATAACAAAAAACTATAAAATTTTGTTAAAACTACCAATTCGGTGGCAGCAATCCAACAATGGGTTGTTCGATTTGTCTGAAAATTTCAGGGCCGATAGATCTTGACCAATTAAACAATTTACCCCTGTCACATTTGCTCTGAAAGATTTAGTTTTTGAGATATAAGCCAAAAACTGCATTTGACCCTTATGTTCTATTTATAGCCATTACGGCCATGTTTGTTGATTGATACAAACTTCGGATACAGTTTATAAACAAGATACCCTAAGGAACATTTAGTTAAAGTTTGAAGGTATTTGGCCCAGTAGTTTCAGAGGAGAAGATTTTTAAATGTTAGCAAACTTGATGAACAAATTGTGTAAAATTGTCTTTAAAGGGCAATTACTCCTTAAGGGGTCAATTGACAATTATGGTCATATTAACTTTTTTGTAGATCTTACTTTGCTGAACATTATTGCTGCTTACAGTTTATATATATCTATAATAATATACAAAATAATAACAAAAAACTGCAAAATTTTGTTAAAACTACCAATTCGGTGGCAGCAACCCAACAATGGGTTGTTCGATTCGTCTGAAAATTTCAGGGCCGATAGATCTTGACCAATTAAACAATTTTACCCCGTGTCACATTTGCTCTGAAAGATTCACTTTTTAGTTAAAGTTTGAAGGTATTTGGCCCAGTAGTTTCAGAGGAGAAGATTTTTGAAATAGTTTACGACGACAGACGACGACAGACGACAACAGACGATGACGACGACAATATTTTGATTATGATCCTTATCGGAGTGGGAAGTTTCATTTTATATAGGCTAATGATGAAAATCATCCCACTCTTTCTACATGTTTATAATGGAACTTTATCTTGAGTTTATGTTATATATTAGATCAAAGGCAGTTTAAAGCCTTGTTGACCACTGATTCTAACTAAGACCAGCATATTTTGCATAAAATTACCTGCTTGAACAAGACTTGACTTGGTAAGTTTACATTTCCTCTAATCACTGCATTGACCTTCTGCAAATCTTGTTGATTTAGAGGTGTGATAATGTATAGCTCTTTCTCAACAGAGTCAATCCCTCTAACAATGCCTGTAGAATTATGTAAAAAGAATTAATGTGAGAATGCCTAGTAAGGGATACTCCAGCTAATAAGTAACATATGTTAACAATAATGTTGTGATAGTTCCATTGAAATATATATGTTCATTTATGATGTGTTGCAAATAAAGGAGACAAAGTCCATGTTTTGATGCAAACGTAGGCAAAAATAAAATATATAGTGCATTAATAATAAAACCTTGTGACAAGTTTCATTAAAATGAATTTACCAAGCAAGAGGTGCATTTTTTTATATAGAAAACCTAAAAATCAAAATGAACCAAAATATAAAATAAGAAGCACAATGGCATTAAATAATAGAGAAATGGTGAAAGCTTCACAGTACAATAATTATGTAATACATTCACAGAATCAAGAGGAGATGTGGATAAAGAAAGCTGCCCACTTATATAGAAATGGCAAAGAATGAGTTCCTATGGAAAACCCCTAAAATTAGCAGGCACCTGTCTATTGTGGAATACCACATGTTGACCTCTAGGTGTCGTTTGGGTTTTCTTGTTGGTGTGCTGCATTCTTAATACAGCATCCCCTCACATCTCCTTTTATTCATATTAATAGTTAAGGAGGATTAAAAGGATACAAGATGAGGACTGACATGTATACCAACAATAACTATACACATGCTGCCTCAGCAATGGGTTATGTACGTGTATATATTTTACAACTTCAAAAGGAAAGATCCCAAAAAGGATAATGCACTAATATTAACATTGGATTTTTGTGACAATTTCATAAATTAAAATAACCATATGTAACCATATGTAAATTAATTTTCTTATTTTCTTGTTGTTACTTTTGTTTTTTAGTATATTTTTTTTCTGGCATTCTACAATACATTTAATCAACAGAAGACGATAGATAAAAAACATGTGTTTAAACTGCAAAACAGAAATTAAACTTACCAAATCCAAGACACTGACAAACAGGTGTATTTTTAAAGAAAAATGGTGTGTTTTTATTTTCTCTCTCTGCCTGAAATATTTCAATAAAACGTTAAACTTTATTAATACACCAGACAAAATGTTAATCGCCAGATAAAACAATTTTGAATTGTATTTTCAAGCATTTGGTGAATTATATATGTTTGGGGAAGGTTTACTGCTAATATGTATGTGTATGTGTATGGATTACCCTTCATTTCATAAATGGATTTGATTGTTGTTTATTTCACCACTGTAATGTCATACACTAGATTGCCATGTTTTGATTTCATGGTCGTATGCAAATGTAACATAAATGAATCAGGGCAAAACATTTCAAGGTATACCTTATTTATATTTGTCTACAGTAATTTTTCTTTCCACCCTTTTTTGTCACAAAGAAAACCAAGAATGCTTCAGATTTTGAAATCAAGTAAATAGTTATAGTAAATAGCTATTGTAAAAAAATAGTGTACTTACTTCAGTAATGTCAGCTTTACACAGTGCCACCAGACAACCATTGATAGCATACAGTATTTCTAAATTCTCTACTTCTGTATGGACTACATGTATAGCAACAGACTTCCATGGTACTGTGTATGGGGTTGAAGAGGTTAAGGACACACCAGGTTCAAGGTTATTACACAAATAACTAAACAAGTTCAAATCTCTGTGATCAAATGGTTTATATCGGCTTATCTGGCTAAAAAATTAAAATCAAAACTCTTTTATGATGTGTTGTTTTGAATTAGGAGATGAAACAAATTAATATTCTCAATAAACATTAAATTGTCACATGTTTGATGTCTTATAAAAAAACATGCATTTTTATTTCCCAGGCACTCAGTACATTTGTACATGGGCAAAGTTTTACCTGTTACCCACCTTTATTCCTTGTCTTTCCAGTTAATTCAGTAAAATTGAAAAAATTGCACACAATCTCCACTTTTTAACAAATCTTGAGAAATAAAATATAACACAATTGTATCATTAAAAGATTTTCACCCTAGAAGATTATTTACATATATGTAATACATATCCACTTGCTTGCAAAATTTTATCAAAATGTTCCTGAAACTGTGCAACATTTCTTGTGAAAACACTTTAAATTTGTGTTAATAAGCTTTATAGTTAATTTTTCATTTAAAAGTTAAAGAGGTATAAAGATAAACAATGGTATCATAATCTTATTTTCTGTAAATTTGATTACAATATGAGTCTTAAAAGTACCTTCTTCTATAATTTTTTAACTCATCAATTAAACATGACTCAATCAGTAAAAGGAATTATTAGAAAAAAATAAACTATAACTCTAACAGGCCTCTACAATAACTTTTTTTTAAACTTGTCCAATAGGACAAGTACATACCAAAACTTACTTGTCCGAATGGAATTGTAATTTGTCCAAACAAAAATTCTTAATATTACCCTTTTTTGCATTTTAAGTTGATTCAACGGAACAAAATGAATTAAAACAACAGAATAGAATTTGATTTATATCTCTTGATATCCTTTTCAAAACTATATGAGTCGTGAACAACTGAATCTAGTTATGTCACAGGACTTAGGTTCTATTTTCATCAATGCCAAAGTCTCATCAGACTCTACACATGAGGCACAGTCTGTAGATCTATCAGTCTAGTACACTCATTTGGTTTCTGTCCTGGTCTGTTATGTTGATAAAATATTGATTATATGATTGATACCTTACTTCAATCAGCTTTGTTTTAATATATTAAAATGATTTTTTTCAAACACAATCAAGTATTGTTTTGTCTACATATGATCAAATATGATTTTATGAATTTTATGGTCAATAATTTTTTCATTTTCATTTTAAAACGTTTTTATTAAATAAAATTAATCATATTTATTATAAAGCACTGGAATAAGGTAGGGAAACGAGGTACATGGTTTGTCTCACAGGAACTCGGTTAGCAGATTAGTATTTTGTTTATCAATGTTTTTCAAATCTTTTTTTCGTATTTCCTGTCTATTTGTATTACTTTATTTACATTTTAAATGTTGGCATCAATATATGATTTTCTTTGTTTTCTAACAATTTGCAGTTAACTATTTAAATTTTTCAGTATACGGATATGGATAGTAACATTAGTAAACTGCACATTGCTAGAAAACAAAGAAAAATTGATGCCAACGTTAAAAACGTTAATAAACGAAAAAAAGATTTAAAACATTGATAAACAAAATTTTAATCTGCTTACAGAGTCCCTGTGGTTTGTCTTGGTCCCTTAATTTCTCCTACGGTGCCGAACTGTCTATTAAACATGGAGGGGATTCGTTTCCGTTTCCGTTAATAAACGAAAAAAAGATTTAAAACATTAATAAACAAAATCTTAATCTGCTAACAGAGTCCCTGTGGTTTGTCTTGGTCCCTAAATGTCTCCTACGGTGCCGAACTGTCTATTAAACATGGAGGGGATTCGTTTCCGTGCTGGTGCCGAACTGTCTTGTTACCTTGTCTAAAAAGCGCATCGCTGATTCTGATCCGTAATACTGGTTTCGTAATACTGGTTTGGGAGAAAACGCGTTTTATCTGTTATAAAGTATCTGACTAAGAACCAGTTTTAAATTATTAATCGCAAGTAAACATGTCAAATTAAATTAATATTAGTTTTTATCTTCTTTTCTTGTTTTTTGTTTATTACTTTGATCATTAAAGTTGGATTTAATTTATTTTCTACAGAATGATTTTACTTGTCCCATACGGACAAGCTGATATGGCTTTTACTTGTCCGACCTTTTTTTCCTCTGGTACCGGACAATCGGACAAGCGTTATTGTCGAGCCCTGTCTAATAACTTTTAAATATTTTTGTGAATGTCATGATTTTGTCCTTTTACACTGTATTGTACTTAATTATATTACTTGTGTTACATACCTCTCAAAAGGGTTAACAGCTGAATCTATAGTCAACAATTCATACTCAGGATAGTCATCCATATATTTCCACTTTTCATCCTGTCAACAATACATTATACAATACAACTCACATTAAAACAGTATATTAGTGGTTATGCTGATTTATTAAATTGCAAATTTTCAAAGGTAAAGTAATTTTCGTATAAAATTGTACTTTTTATGACATCATTATAACAAGAGTGCACACGCTGAAATGTCTCGCCTTCTTTACTAATCATTGATATTATGTTGATAGTCCTGCATATAAAGCTTTATTACAACTGTCACATAAACTTAACATTAACCAAGTAAACTAAACATTGACCAATGAACCATGAAAATGAGGTCAAGGTCAGATGAACCATGCTAGGCAGGCATGTACAGCTAACAATTCTTCCATACAACAAATATAGTTGACCTATTGCTTATAGTTTAAGAAAAACAGACGAAAACACAAAAACTTAACACTGAGCAATGAACCTTGAAAATGAGGTCAAGGTCAAATAAAACCTGCGTGACTGACATATAGATCATAAAATATTTCCATACACCAAATATAGCTGAACTATTGCATATAGTATTAGAAAAAAAGACCAAAACTCAAAAACTTAACTTTGACCACTGAACCATGAAAATGAGGTCAAGGTAAGATGACACCTGCCAGCTAGACATGTACACCTTACAATCATTCCATACACCAAATATAGCTGACCTATTGCATGCAGTATTAGAAAAAAAGACCAAAACTCAAAAACTTAACTTTGACCACTGAACCATGAAAATGAGGTCAAGGTCAGATGACACCTGCCAGCTAGACATGTACACCTTACAATCATTCCATACACCAAATATAGTAGACCTATTGCATACAGTATAAGAAAAACAGACCAAAACACAAAAACTTAACTATAACCACTGAACCATGAAAATGAGGTCAAGGTCAGATGACACCTGCCAGTTGGACATGTACACCTTACAGTCCTTCCATACACCGAATATACTAGACCTATTGCTTATAGTATCTGAGATATGGACTTGACCACCAAAACTTAACCTTGTTCACTGATCCATGAAATGAGGTCGAGGTCAAGTGAAAACTGTCTGACGGGCATGAGGACCTTGCAAGGTACGCACATACCAAATATAGTTATCCTATTACTTATAATAAGAGAGAATTTAACATTACAAAAAATCTGAACTTTTTTTTCAAGTAGTCACTGAACCATGAAAATGAGGTCAAGGACATTGGACATGTGACTGACGGAAACTTGGTAACATGAGGCATCCATATACAAAGTATGAAGCATCCAGGTCTTCCATCTTCTAAAATATAAAGCTTTTAAGAAGTTAGCTAACGCCGCCGCGGCCGCCGCCGCCGCCGCCGCCGGATCGCTATCCCTATGTCGAGCTTTCTGCGACAAAAGTCGCAGGCTCGACAATAAAATGCTTCGCTGAGCGCAGCCTGATATGACCGCAGAGGTCGAAACCCTGAACAGTTGGGGCAAATTTGGACACAATATTCAAGCTTGATACTGTCTGAATTTGGATTGTGATCAAATTTTTGACATAATATAGGTTTCTGACACAAAATAAATGTGGTCAAAGATCTTTCAAATCTATTGCGCAATACTGTGCAATGGAAGATTTCTTCTTGAAAATTTTCAAAAATTCGAAATATGAAAAATTTTGAACAAAAAATATGAATCCCCTAAAAAAATTGGAAAAAAAATCCCCCCCCAATTTTTTGAAACCCTCCTTAGAGCAATAACCCCATTACTCAATCCCAGCCTTTCCTTTGTAGTATGGAACCTTGTAGTACAATTTCAGAGAGATCCATACACTTAAACACAAGTTATTGTCTGGAAACTAGTAATATGCTTGTTTTTGGCCCTTTTTGGCCCCTAATTCCTACATGTTTTTGGCAATTAACCCCAAATTCAATCCTAGACTTCCCTTTGTGGTATGGAACCTTGTGTTACAATGTCAGAGAGATCCATACACTTACAAGTTATTGTCTGGAAACTAGAAAAATGCTTCTTTTTGGCCCCTTTTTGGCCCTTAATTCCTAAACTGTTGGCCCCATAACCCCTAAGATAAATTCCAACCTTCTACTTGTGGTATTAAACATTGTGGTAGAATTTCAGAGCAATCGAAATACTTATACACAAGTTATTATCCTGAAACTAGAAAAATGCTTGTTTTGGGCCCCATTTGGGCCCCTTATTCCTAAATGGTTGGGACCATCATCCCCAAAATCAATCCCAACCTTCCTTTTGTGGTATTGAACCTTCTTAAAAAATTTCATAGAGATCCATTCACTTAAACTAAAGTTATTGTCTGGAAACCAATGTGTCTTCGGACGACGACGCAGACGACGAAGACGCAGACGACATCATACCATTATATGAACCCAAAAAATTTTTTGCAGTCGTATAAAAACAAAGAGATGGTTTGACTACCAATTAGACAACTATCCACCAGAGAAAAGAGGGCAAGGATGTTAATAACTTAAGGTCACCTTATGGCCTTCAACAAAGAGCAAAACCCATTCTTATAGCAAGCTATAAAGGACCCTGCATGATAAAATTTGTAGCAATTCAAAAGAGAAAACCATCAGCTTGATTTAAACTAAAAACATTAAACAAAAAGCTAACAAAGCAGAAAGCAACAGATGACAACCTCCTGACTGACTCATAATGAAGCTCGGGTATTTTCTTGAGATGAAATTTCACTATGAACATACATTTATGAAAAACTTACAATTGAATAAAAGGTCTTCAGGGTCATGCATGAAAAATAATAACAATACTTTTCATAATCATTTTTCAATCTATTGATTATCGACATTTAATCAATATGCGTTTTTGTGTTCCCTGTCAACAATTGACCATTTCAAAATCCAATTCATTTGGTATATTTTCAAAAACATACACCAACTATTGTGACAGGTTAACATTGGGACTTTGAGATGATTGGTTGATTATTGCTTAAAATCACATCAGCACAAAACTGCTATATTATTACTGTAATTGCAGTGCATGACAAATGTGTTTCTATAAATACAAATATGACCAAATTTATTTCTGTATTTACAGTGTGTGACAAATGTTATTATATAATTACAGAGTATGACAATGTGGTTATACAATTAAATTACAGTGTGCATGTGACAAATGTGTTTCTTTGACTGATCACTGATTCTTTAAGGATAATTTCCACAACAATGAAATAATGTTCATGTTAATTTTCCCTGAATGTTCCTGTAAATGTTGTCATAGTCTCAATTGTAATAAATAAAATTATGTCACTTTATTAATATTTTTTTAAACAATTTTTGGTAAGACATTTTCACTCATATAACTGATATGAAAATATGAGCTTTATGAGCATTTTTACGTTTAAGCTACCAGTAAATATGATATGTTTACCCATATTTTCCCTCTCCATCCTGGCTCTCTTTGCACAAAGTTTGGCAACATCCTAGGAAAATTGACAACTGCCTTTTTAGTGTTGATCTGTACCAGTAATGATGGACAAACTAATCTGACAATATCCACTGTCAAGGCTAATCCTACACCTGAAAAAAAAACCAAGAGGCCAAATCTGACAATATCCAATATCATGGCTAATCCAACACCTGAAAAAAAACAAGAGGTAAAATCTGACAATATCCACTGTCAAGGCTAATCCTACACCTGAAAAATAAAACAAGAGGTAAAATCAGACAATATCCAGTGTCAAGGCTCATCATATACCTGTTAAAAAACAAGAGTGCACATGCTGAAATGTCTCACCTGTTTTACTAACCATTGATTTTATGTTTAAAGTCTTAAAGATAAGGGTTTTACTACAAGTATCACATACAGTTAACATTTTTAAAGATCCATGACAATAAGGTCAAGGTCAGATAAATCCTGCCAGACAGACATGTTTACCCAACAATTATTCCATACACCAAATGTAGTTGACCTATTGCTTATAGTAAATGAAAAAGACCAAAACACAAAAACTTAACATTGACCCATGAACCATGAAAATGAGGTCAAGGTCGGATGATACCTGTTGGACAGAAATGTACACCTAACAATCGTTCCATACACCAAATATATTTGACCTATTGCATATAGTACTTGAAAAACAGACCAAAACACAAAAACTTACCATTGTCCAATGAACTATGAAAATGAGGTCAAGGTCAGATGAAGCCTGCCAAGACTGACATGTACCCCTTACAATCATTCATTATACCACATATAGTTGACCTACTTTTCATAGTATCTGAGAAACAGACCTAATCACGTAACTTTAATCTTGATCACTGATCCATATAATGAGGTCAAGGTCAGGTGAACTATGTCTGATTGACATGTAGACATTGCAAGGAACTCATATACCAAATATCATATTACTCATAATAACTGTGAAATTTACATGACAAAAAAACTCTAATTGTTTTCCAAGCAGTCACTGAGACATGAAAATAAGGTCAAGGACAATGGACACATGACATACAGAAACTTTGTAACAATAGGTATCTGCATACAAGGTATGAAGCATCCAGGTCTTCTACCTTCTGAACTATAAAGCTTTATACAAATAGTTTACACCGCCTATGAGTTGTAACCCCTATGTCTCACATTCTGACACTTTTGTCGCAGGCGAGACAACAAGAAGTCAAATTTGACAATATCCAGTGTCAAGGCTAATCCTACACCTGTCAAAAAAACAAGAGGTCAAATCTGACAATATCCCCTGTCTAGGCTATTCCTATATCTGTAAAAAAAAAACGGTCAAATATGACAAAAAATCCCCTGTTAAGGCTAATCCTATACCTGTACAAAAATAAAGAGCTGCGCCAAGAGCGCATGATACGCACGTCACTCTTTTAAAGTATAAAGTTCCATAACTCCTCAATGTCATATCAGAAATTTATAAGAAAACTAAAGGGAGGTTAGTTTAAAGATATAAAGCAGTCACCAAAGTTTCATGAAAACTGCTCAAAGCACTTGTCAGTTATTGTCTGAAAACTGGAACATCCCCCCTTTTTTATGAATAAAATCCCATCACTCGGAAACGTAAAATCTAAAATTTATAAAAATCAAAAGGGAGCTTATGTCAATAGATTTAAACAATTCACCAAAGTTTCATGAAAACTGCTCAAAGGACTTTTGAGTTATTGTCCGAAAACTGGAAAACCCCCCTTTTTTAATGAATAAAAGCCCATAACTCAGAAGCGCAAAATCTAAAATTTATAAAAATCGAAAGGGAGCTCACGTCAATATATATAAAAAATTCACCAAAGTTTCATGCAAATTGGTTAAAGTGTTTTTGAGTTATTGTCCGACATGATGACGACTGACAGACAGACAACAGTATACCATAATATGTCCCATAATCGGGCTTATAGCAAGAGGTCAAATCTGACAATATCCCCTGTCTGCTAATCCTATACCTGTAAAAAAAAAAAGAAAAGGTCAAATCTGACAATATCTGCTGTCAAGGCTAATCCTATACCTGTAAAAAAACAAGAGGTCAAATCTGACAATATCCCCTGTCTGCTAATCCTATACCTGTAAAAAAACAAAAGGTCAAATCTGACAATATCTGCTGTCAAGGCTAATCCTATACCTGTAAAAAACAAGACGTCAAATCTGACAATATCCCCTGTCTGATAATCCTATACCTGTAAAAAAACAAAAGGTCAAATCTGACAATATCCCCTGTCAAGGCTAATCCTATACCTATAAAAAACAAGAGGTAAAATCCGACAATATCCCCTGTCAAGGCTAATCCTATACTTGTAAAAAAAACAAGAAGTCAAATATGACAATATCCCCTGTCAAGGCTAATCTATACCTGTAAAAATAAAATGCTTCGCTGGGTGCAGCTTGATACGACCGCAGAGGTCGAACCCTGAACTGTTGGGGCAAGTATGGACACAACATTCAAGCTTGATACAGCTCTGAATTTGGATTGTGATTAAATATTTGACACAGCATAGGTTTCTGACACAAAAAGAATGTGGTCTAAGAACTTGAATTTTTTTAATTACCTATTATGGTCCAATGTCCAAAATCAAAATACATGGTTAGATTCAGCATATCAAAGAACCCCATATATTAAATTTTTGTTGAAATCAAACAGAGTTTAATTTTGGACCCCAACTTGGACAAACTTGAAAACTGGGCCCATAATCAAAAATCTAAACACATGTTTAGATTCAGCATATCAAAGAACCCCAAGAATTCAATTTTTGTTAAAATCAAACTAAGTTTAATTTTGGACCCTTTGGACCTTAATGTAGACTTATTAAAAAAAAGGGACCCAAAATTAACAAGAGTGCACACGCTGAAATGTCTCGCCTTCTTTACTAATCATTGATATTATGTTGATAGTCCTAAATATAAAGCTTTATTACAACTGTCACATAAACTTAACATTAACCAAGTAAACTAAACATTGACCAATGAACCATGAAAATGAGGTCAAGGTCAGATGAACCATGCTAGGCAGGCATGTACAGCTAACAATTCTTCCATACAACAAATATAGTTGACCTATTGCTTATAGTTTAAGAAAAACAGACCAAAACACAAAAACTTAACACTGAGCAATGAACCTTGAAAATGAGGTCAAGGTCAAATAAAACATGCGTAACTGACATATAGATCATAAAATATTTCCATACACCAAATATAGTTGAACTATTGCATATAGTATTAGAAAAAAAGACCAAAACTCAAAAACTTAACTTTGACCACTGAACCATGAAAATGAGGTCAAGGTAAGATGACACCTGCCAGCTAGACATGTACACCTTACAATCATTCCATACACCAAATATAGCTGACCTATTGCATGCAGTATTAGAAAAAAAGACCAAAACTCAAAAACTTAACTTTGACCACTGAACCATAAAAATGAGGTCAAGGTCAGATGACACCTGCCAGCTAGACATGTACACCTTACAATCATTCCATACACCAAATATAGTAGACCTATTGCATACAGTATAAGAAAAACAGACCAAAACACAAAAACTTAACTATAACCACTGAACCATGAAAATGAGGTCAAGGTCAGATGACACCTGCCAGTTGGACATGTACACCTTACAGTCCTTCCATACACTGAATATACTAGACCTATTGCTTATAGTATCTGAGATATGGACTTGACCACGAAAACTTAACCTTGTTCACTGATCCATGAAATGAGGTCGAGGTCAAGTGAAAACTGTCTGACGGGCATGAGGACCTTGCAAGGTACGCACATACCAAATATAGTTATCCTATTACTTATAATAAGAGAGAATTTAACATTACAAAAAATCTGAACTTTTTTTTCAAGTAGTCACTGAACCATGAAAATGAGGTCAAGGACATTGGACATGTGACTGACGGAAACTTCGTAACATGAGGCATCCATATACAAAGTATGAAGCATCCAGGTCTTCCATCTTCTAAAATATAAAGCTTTTAAGAAGTTAGCTAACGCCGCCGCCGCCGGATCGCTATCCCTATGTCGAGCTTTCTGCGACAAAAGTCGCAGACTCGACAAAAATCAAAATACACGGTTAGATTTGGAATATCAAAGAACCCCAATTATTCAATTTTTGATGAAATCAAACAAAGTTTAATTTTGGACCCTTTTGACCTCAATATGAACCAATTTGATAGCGGGGCCCACAAATAAAAAATCTAAAAACATGGTTAGATTCAGCATATCAAAGAACCCCATATATTCAATTTTTGTTGAAATCAAACAAAGTTTAATTTTGGACCCCAACTTGGACAAACTTGAAAACTGGGCCCATAATCAAAAATCTAAACACATGTTTAGATTCAGCATATCAAAGAACCCCAAGAATTCAATTTTTGTTAAAATCAAACTAAGTTTAATTTTGGACCCTTTGGACCTTAATGTAGACCAATTAAAAAAACGGGACCCAAAATTAAAATCTAAATACACGGTTAGATTTGAATATCAAAGAACCCCAATAATTCAATTTTTGATGAAATCAAACAAAGTTTAATTTTGGACCCTTTTGACCTCAATATGAACCAATTTGATAGCGGGCCCACAAATAAAAAATCTAAATACATGGTTAGATTCAGCATATCAAAGAACCCCATATATTCAATTTTTGTTGAAATCAAACAAAATTTAATTTTGGACCCCAATTTGGACCAACTTGAAAACTGGGCCAAAAATCTAAAATCTAAATACATGTTTAGATTCAGCATATCAAAGAACCCCATATATTCAATTTTTGTTGAAATCAAACAAAAAAAAAGTTTAATTTTGGACCCCAATTTGGACAAACTTGAAAACTGGGCCCATAATCAAAAATCTAAACACATGTTTAGATTCAGCATATCAAAGAACCCCAAGAATTCAATTTTTGTTAAAATCAAACTAAGTTTAATTTTGGACCCTTTGGACCTTAATGTAGACCAATTAAAAAAACGGGACCCAAAATTAAAATCTAAATACACGGTTAGATTTGGAATATCAAGAACCCCAATAATTCAATTTTTGATGAAATCAAACAAAGTTTAATTTTGGACCCTTTTGACCTCAATATGAACCAATTTGATAGCGGGCCCACAAATAAAAAATCTAAATACATGGTTAGATTCAGCATATCAAAGAACCCCATATATTCAATTTTTGTTGAAATCAAACAAAGTTTAATTTTGGACCCCAATTTGGACCAACTTGAAAACTGGGCCAAAAATCTAAAATCTAAATACATGTTTAGATTCAGCATATCAAAGAACCCCATATATTGTTGAAATCAAACAAAAAAAAAGTTTAATTTTGGACCCCAACTTGGACAAACTTGAAAACTGGGCCCATAATCAAAAATCTAAACACATGTTTAGATTAGCATATCAAATAACCCCAAGAATTCAATTTTTGTTAAAATCAAATTAAGTTTAATTTTGGACCCTTTGGATCTTAATGTAGACCAATTTAAAAAACAGGACCCAAAATTAAAAATCTAAATACACGGTTAGATTTGGTATATCAAAGAACCCAAATAATTCAGTTTTTGATGAAATCAAACAAAGTTTAATTTTGGACCCTTTTGACCTCAATATGAACCAATTTGATAGCGGGGCCCACAAATAAAAAATCTAAATACATGGTTAGATTCAGCATATCAAAGAACCCCACATATTCAATTTTTGTTGAAATCAAACAAAGTTTAATTTTGGACCCCAATTTGGACAAACTTGAAAACTGGGCCCATAATCAAAAATCTAAACACATGTTTAGATTCAGCATATCAAAGAACCCCAAGAATTCAATTTTTGTTAAAATCAAACTAAGTTTAATTTTGGACCCTTTGGACCTTAATGTAGACCAATTAAAAAAACGGGACCCAAAATTAAAATCTAAATACACGGTTAGATTTGGAATATCAAAGAACCCCAATAATTCAATTTTTGATGAAATCAAACAAAGTTTAATTTTGGACCCTTTTGACCTCAATATGAACCAATTTGATAGCGGGCCCACAAATAAAAAATCTAAATACATGGTTAGATTCAGCATATCAAAGAACCCCATATATTCAATTTTTGTTGAAATCAAACAAAATTTAATTTTGGACCCCAATTTGGACCAACTTGAAAACTGGGCCAAAAATCTAAAATCTAAATACATGTTTAGATTCAGCATATCAAAGAACCCCATATATTGTTGAAATCAAACAAAAAAAAAGTTTAATTTTGGACCCCAACTTGGACAAACTTGAAAACTGGGCCCATAATCAAAAATCTAAACACATGTTTAGATTAGCATATCAAATAACCCCAAGAATTCAATTTTTGTTAAAATCAAATTAAGTTTAATTTTGGACCCTTTGGATCTTAATGTAGACCAATTTAAAAAACAGGACCCAAAATTAAAAATCTAAATACACGGTTAGATTTGGTATATCAAAGAACCCAAATAATTCAGTTTTTGATGAAATCAAACAAAGTTTAATTTTGGACCCTTTTGACCTCAATATGAACCAATTTGATAGCGGGGCCCACAAATAAAAAATCTAAATACATGGTTAGATTCAGCATATCAAAGAACCCCACATATTCAATTTTTGTTGAAATCAAACAAAGTTTAATTTTGGACCCCAATTTGGACCAACTTGAAAACTGGGCCAAAAATCAAAAATCTAAATACATGTTTAGATTCAGCATATCAAAGAACCCCATATATTCAATTTTTGTTAAAATCAAACAAAGTTTAATTTTGGACCCTTTGGACCTTAATGTAGACCAATTTGAAAACTGGACCCAAAATTAAAAATCTAAATACACGGTTAGATTCGGCATAACAAATAAATAAATGTGGTCAAAGATTTTACAAATCTAATGCGCCATACTGTGCAATTAAAGATTACTTCTTGAAATTTTTCAATATTTGAAATTAAAAAAAAAAAATTGAGTAATAATTCTTTTTAATTTCTGAAATCTGAAATGAGAAAAAATTGACCCCCCACAATTTCTTTTTAACCCCCCCCCCCTCTTTTTACCCCAAAAAGTTCTTTCCCTCAAGATATGGTCATAATCTCAATTCAAATTTCCAATGGAGTTTGCAACCATAATTACCCATTTAAATTTACCATAGTGCTAACTTAATCTATCTTATAATAGAATTTAAAATATTGTGTCAAATCTTTCATATTTTGTAAAAAAAATAAGATGCAACATTTGCAGATATTTTTACTGGTCTTCCTTTATAAATATGCATTTCTTTAAACATAATTTAAAAGCAGTGTAAGGGAAGTAACAAAAATGTTGTATTTGGATTACCTCCCTTACACTGTTTTAAATTATCTTAATTGTTCATTAACCATTACTTTATACATAATTTAAAAGCAGTGTAAGGGAGATAATTTCAATGATGTATTTGATTTATCTCCCTTACACTGCTTTAAAATATGTTTTGTACTAATGTATTTGTCCATTAAACAGGACAACCTTGTTTTTCCCCCTTTTTTGCCCCTAATTCCTAAACGGTTTGAGCTATAACCCCCCCAAAGCAAATCCTAACCATCCCTTTGTGGTATGGAAACTTGTAGTATAATTTCAGAGAGATCCATACACCGTTCCACAGTTATTGTCTGGAAACTAGAAAATGCTTATTTTTGGCCCCTTTTTGGCCCCTAAACCATAACCCCCAAAATCAATCCCCACCTTCCTTTTGTGGTATTGAACCTTATGGTAAAATTTCAAAGAGATCCATTCACTTAAACTAAAGTTAGAGTGCGAAAACCAATGTGTCTTCGTACGACGACGCCAACAAACGTCATACCAATATACGACCGCAAAAATTTTTTGCGGTCGTATAAAAATAAGAGGTCAAATCTGACAATATCCCCTGTCAAGGCTAACCTTATACCTGTGAATAAAACAAGAGTTAAAATCGGACAATATCCACTGTCAAGACTAGTTTTAAACCTGTACAAAAATAAGAGGTCAAATCTGACAATATCTCCTGTGAAGGCTAATCCTATACCTGTCAAAAACACATAAAGTATTACAATATCTTCAGTACAGGCCAATCCTACAACAAGACAAGAGAGCACACACTGAATTGTCCTGCCTCCTTTACTGATTATCAATAAAATTTAAGTTTAAATTTGCCAAATAAATTGTTGGAGATGTACTGATTGATATTTTAGTCTTGGAAAGCATGTTTATTCATTAGCTGAAATTGAACTGTAGGTAGCTTTCTGAAACTGAAAATACTCATAGGTCAATACCTTGACCTTTTTTAATTTTGTCAGAGGTTTTTTTTTGTGCTTAGTACCAATCTAATAAATTAAGCCCTTTCAAACTGATTTTTATAGTTTGGACTTATTGTTATTTTGCCATACCACTGTCCAATGTAAGGCAGAGAGTTGAGCACTAACAAATATGTGTAACCCTTTCATACTCTGTTTGCCTGTTCGAAATGAAAATCTGTGATCTTGTGGTTGTAGTTGGTTGCTGCCTACAATAATTGTTTTTTTGTTTTGTCTTATTATATGTCAGGCCATTGGTTTTCATTTTTGAATTGCTTTACCTTTTGTCATCTTTGGGCCGTTTATAATTTATCGTATAGTATGAGTTATGAGTATGTGCTAATTGTTAAAGGCCATAATATGACCTGTATTTGTTCACATTCGTGTCCTTTGGTCTCTAGTGGATAGTTGTCTAATTTGGAATCGTACCTTATCTCTCTTTTTTTTTAATTTGAGATGAAGGCCTTACTGCAAGTATCAAAAACACTAACTATTATCAATGATTTATATAAAGTCAAGGTAAGATGAACCCTGTCAGATGGACATTACATTTTACTCCTTGATGTCATTCTGTAGATCATTTTTATAGTAGACAAAATGTAACAAAATACTGTAGATTCAGAAATTATTGCATGCATTTATTATTGTGATTTTTGAAGAATGGACATAAATGCGAGATTAATTATTGAGAATTCAGATATCAGAATGCGAGCTCTTATTATTGCAATACTCACCCAGCCGCTTTATTTGCAATCATAAAAACCTCGCGATAATTTCTCATATTACAGTAGGATGTGTCCAAGGGGTATTAGTAAAAATTTCACTGAAATTCACCATTTTTTTATAGGAAACCTAAAAGACCCTGGAATAGCCAGTTTAAAATGCAAGTTCATTTGTACAGTATTTTAGGAGATTGAATAGTATCAATAGAATTTAAAGAACAAACAATATCCAATGAACACATCCTATTATGATATCCACATTTCTACATATCAATTAGTAAAATACATACAATAACTTTTTCTTACCTTTATTCCAGCCACAAGTATTTACTATCAGTGGTCCTTTCTCTTCCAAGTCTAGATACTTAGAGAAGCATTTTTCTATACAGGTTAGGTATCTAGTGGGATCATCTGCTGGTGTTACTCCTCCAAAAAAACAGGAACTGTCAATAAAAAATAAAATATTTTAGTAAAGAAGGGGTATATATTCAATACACATGATACAGAATAAAAATAATCCTGAAAACTGAATTCAAAGTAATCATGCTTTTGAGTTATTGTCTTTCATCACAAGTTCTGTAAAAATATAGATAATGTAGTTTTATGGATAGACTAAAAAATAAAAGAGAAGTAAAGACGTAATGGGCACTTTTAGAAAAGATTATATTTGGGTTGTTGAATTTGACCTAAAAATCTTCAAGACTTGTATAATAGGATATATTCTTTTCTTTCACAATGACGTCCAGCTCCATAATAATTCAAAACTATATCAAAGTTTCCTCCACTTAAATCTTAAGTAGACATTTATGTAAAGAGGTACATATTTTTAGGTTGAACTTTAACATTTATGAAGGGCTGTGAAAATCAATATTGCCAAAATTGAACATTTGCTTATCCTTGCCTAAGTTTAAATATCCAGCAAATATTGTTAGTTTTTCAATTACCCTGTATTGATAGAATAATATAAACACACAACATGTATGCACTCAGTGATTCTTCAAATTATTTATTGGATTACATGAATCAAGTAGGAATTGGGAAGCAAAGGGGTCAATTGCTTCCTCTTTTTGGTTTAAAAAAAATTATTATTGAAAATAAAAAATGCAAATAGAACAAGACACAGACAACTTTAAGACTATGAGACTATAGAAAAGGATTTTTTTTTGCTTGTCACTTTAAGAAGTTTGCACCCCCCTTTTTCAGTTAACTCCTACACCTGTACATGAGTTTATATTTTCTTCAAAATTAATGATCCATACTTACAAAACTGCTGCTCTCTGATGAGTGAATGGAGGTCCTGGAAAAAAATATTCATTTTATATTGATAACTGCATCTAGACATGAATAAATATTTCATTTCTTAAGTTATATCTCTTTTTTCATTAATTTACAGTATATCATAATTTATTTAACCATAATGTTCATCATTTGTATTACATTACCTAAAATGGACCTACTGAAAAAAACCAGGAAAACACTATTGTTTAAGTAAGATAACCTCAGCCTCCATGGTATTTCAAAGGCAATGGTTATACATTAAGTAAAATTATCATGAAAAAGGGAGATAATCTGCCTATGAACAATCAAAAGCAATGATCCTAAACACAAAAGTAATGTTTTCATTCAAAAGGGAGATAATTTGTTCATAAACAATCAAAGGCAATGAATTAAAATAAAGGTTATTAGGTAAAATTTAGAGTTTTGTGGAGTATTGAATTCCGGTATATTTCATATTTTAAAGTTCACAAAATAATATCTTACAAATGATCACATATCCATGTTCACTTAAGTATGGTCTATAATATAACTGATAATGATCTGGTGGTTTATCTTGTTTTTATCTTGCCAAAATTACTGACAAAGTGTATTTATAATACAGAACCAGGGGAGGTGTTTATCATGTTATTATTATACCTACCACTGACTCAGAAACACAATATAGTTATACACAACCAGTGGGAGTTGTTAATCTTATATTCATCTAACCTAGTACATGTACTTGCTCAGAAACACAATGCAGTTACGCACAACTGTGTGTGTGGGGGAAAGGGGGTAGTTGTTTCTCATGTTTTTATCTCACCTAGTACTGGCTCAGAAACACAATGTAGGGAAACACAACCAGGGGGAGTAAACTCTGTCTGTCCAACATCACATTCAAGAAAGTAAACTTTATCAACTCTAAAATGAAATAAAAGTATGGCTACAGAAATACATGTATTCAATGTATTCTTAAATATAATGGTTATGATGGCAGATTTTGGGTAGTATTTTTTCAATTTTTTCACAAATTGTATAGACTCAGGTCATTTAGACCTTGACTCATGGTATACACACTTTTATTTTGCTTTATTTTGAGACTGTACATGCTGTTTTTCAACCTGTAATGTCACTTGTTATTTTTCTGGATTGTTGGGTTGTTGACAAATTGAAGTATACCTTACATTTCTCAATATTTATAATCTTATATGTAAATTATAATACAAATATAAAATCTTGAGAATTGTGACAAATTTTTAAACTCTTTCTTTATCTACAGAAATGATTCCAACTGGCCATTAGTTGATATATAGTGTTTAAAATCCTCTTCCCCACCAAGCAGTAAATGTCCTTGGCTATATTCCCTACATTTAGAATATTATAGATCTAAAATATACTTTTAGCTATTTATTCAGATCACATTGTAAGCCACTGTTTCACCAAATTGAATGAAAATCTTACCATAATTCTTTCCAAAATAGTTTACATGGTCTGTATATCATATACTTTATGACTGACTGAATATTGGATATTTATTCCATTCTTGTATCAAATTAATAAAACAAACTGTGTGTTTTCTTAGTTTAGACTAATCCATTGAAGATTATAGTTTCAAATGACAATGCTGAATGTCATATGCCTCAAAGGAATTACTTTATTTTAAACTTGCCAACATCAGTCAATGATTTTACTAACAGCTTTTTATATTTATAATTCTATATGCATCTGTAAAATCTAAAAGTGATGTCAGCAAGTATAAGGATACATGATGGTTATTCAAATTCTACCACAATAGCTGAATCATACTTTTTAAATGATTTAGCTAAAAGGATATGTCATTTGCACATTCCAGCACGTTACTTCTGCATTTTACCACCTCAAAATTAAATCATCATGATCAGTGTCAAATGAGTTGCATTTAAAAAGTAATGGTTTCGATACTTATCTTTATCACTTACTTATTGAGTAGCGAGTTTATTAAATATCTATTGAGCGTAGATTTCCCAGAATTCTTCCCTCCAATAATTGTAATGACAGATGATGCTCCTACAATGGTCAGATGTATAAAAAAAATATTTAAAATATAGTAACAATGAATAGGCATGCCAAAATCTGATTGAAAAATGGATCGACTCTCAAGCTTTGCTTACAAGAATCAGACAATGCTGTTTTACTTATCGTTCTGAAGACCTTTACAAGATCATTAGGTTTTATCAAAATGATATACACCTTCTAACATTTTTAGGTTGAAATTTCATTGGTTGTCCTAATAATTCTCATAACAGGAAGTAGAGCATAGCTTTGTCTGATCCTTGTAAGCAATGAGTGGACATAGTATATTTAAAAAATAATACATGTACTCATGTTATACTATAATGTATTTGTTTAAATGATCATCACTTATTTTGTACCATATTTATTTAAATTCATGAAAAACATCAGCAACCACACAAATGATTTTTTTTCAATCTTTCTGTCATCATTTTCTGTACAAAACATCAATTTCTTTTTTTTTTTTTATTAATTAACTTTTTTTTTTGTAAAATATGTGTATCATTTTTTTCATTCTCTAATATCTAGTTACCTTTTATACATATTTATCATTTAAATTGTACTATGACCAGTGATGCTTATGTTCATTATCAAAGATCACACACAACTCACAAATATCCCTGAATTTCTCAATATTTGCCAATTACATTACCCTATATCATGTATATGATGGATATTCATCGTTTAAGATGTTGTTAGCCAATCACAATATTTTTTAAACATTACCCAAAAAGCATTGGATTCTAAAATGGTAAAAAAATAATACATATATATTACCACTTTTATTTCTTATTAGTCTGCATGCTTTATCCTTTAGCATCAAGTATTGACTAGGGAATGTCAGTTTTGGTCTATCTTCAAGCACGGTTAAACCTACTCTTAACAAAGACCGTTTCCATCTAGGTAAAGTATCCACTTCTTCTTTTCTGTAGAAAATTTCTTGAAATGGTGGATATTGTGGAATTATCTCCATTGATCTTGAGTTCAACTTCTCTATTTTAATAATGGCTGACATAGTTTCAGAAATATTTTTTCTTTGGTCCAAACCAATTTTCAGTTCCGATAAAATCTTTTTGACCAGTGCTTGGTTCTGTTCTATTGCTTCACTCTTAATTGTTAAAAAGCTATTTGAATCTGGCGAGTAAAAGTCATAATGATTTGATACTTCAAGATGGCTTCCAAACACAGAAACAGTCCCATATAATGGTTGCAGACGACAGTTTCCTTGGAAACAAACTTCAACATCTTGTTCCATAGCAAATAACAGTCCATCTTGCAAGTCTATGATTTTAACCCTAAAAAGTTGTTTGATAAATAAGTCTTTAAGAAAACCTGTCTAGGTAATGATTGTTTTTTACGTATGAACATATAAGTTCTGTTGTTACAAATTCAATGAACTGGTTTTGCGGATGAAAAACTTGTATGATCTAATATCAGTTTACAGGATAAACTTTTCAAACATGTTTTTTTTTCTGATAATTACAGATAAGTTCATCACTAGTGGAACAGGAGCTGCTTACCCTACCAACACTCCTGAATTCACCTACAGTTTTTGGTGAGGTTCAAGTTGCTCAAGTTTCAGTTTTCTGTGTAATGTTTTGTTAACTTATTGCCTGTTCAATTTTTGTCTTTTGGCCATGGTGTTGTCTATTTTTCTTAGAATTATGACTTTTGATTGCTCCTTATTATCTACTTCACTTCTTTTTACTTATGCTGTTTGTTTTCAGCATAATTTCTACTCTTCAAAATTGTAGTACAGTTCATTTCTGTCGAAAATGGGAATCAAGATTCAAATCTTTTTGATTTTAAGCATTAATGGGATTACTTTAAAATTCATGAATGAGTAGGAAACTTTAAAAAAAGTATCAAATATTGGAAGTCAAAAATTAAGTGCTAATATAAATAGGGAAAATCTGATGAATAATTCAATAAATAATATAAAAATTCACCACTTTAATATTTATATGTATTAAGACTGTGGTTTATCATTACGTTAAATATAATACAGATACCCTTTCAATGTATCCTCTACTACGGTCTGTTCTTCAGTTTCATCTATGTCCACATTTAAACTGTCTGACTTCCTTCTTTTCTTCATGTTTCTCTTGGATTTGGTATTTTTTGTACTTTCAAAGTCTTGTGTTGAAGAAGTCTTTTCTTTTCTATCCTCGTCAGTCAAATAACTCAAGTTTGTGGAAGATTTTCTCTTTCTTTCTGTCTGGTGGCCATTACCTTTCCTTTGGTCTTTAACAGATATTTTCTCTGTGGGTGATGAAATAAGTTTATTTTGCTTTTCACTCATTTTTTGGTATTTCTTTTTACTTTTTGCCCAAAAATTGGATGAAAATATTTCACCTTCCTGACTTTGTTTTCTTTTACCACTGTGTCCAGTTTCTAGACCAGATGAAGATGCATTGTCATATTTGTGAGTAGTTTCTGTCTTATCTGAGAATTTTCCAGTTGGGTCTGAAGTTTCCCCCTTTAATGTTTTATCTTCTGCATCTGAATTTTTATCTCCCCTTTGCTTTGAATTGTCACCTGCAACAGTACTGACTAAGGCAGGTTTAGTTTTAGTTTTGCCCGTTTTTTTCAAAGGTTGAGGATCCTCTTGGTGTTTCTTTGTCTTTTCCTTTTTGCCCTTTGCTTTTCCTTTCTTCTTCATGGTTAACTATAATATAAAGTGATAAAACCAACTTTTCAATGTCATTGGTCCAAAGACACAGATGTTAAATCATTCAATTTGAATCCTTTTTTTGCCAGTTACCTATAAAAATATATGTTTATATCAACAGTACAACAATGTTCATGATTTTACCATTTCCTAGTTTTGTAACTCAAGTTTGGTAAATTATTTCCCTTAAGCAAGTATTTTGCTTTGCATCATAATGTGAAGCTATTAGTTTTATTCAATATTCAGGTCAGCTGAAGTTATTCATGTTATTACTTAACAAATATTGGTTCCAACTGGTTGCCTTATGATGTGTCTAAGGTTGTATTTGCTAGAATGATATATGGAACTGGAAAAATGTCCTGTACAGGAGAAGATATCAAATACAGAAAATAAAGAATTGAATTACAGTATGGGTTTTCAAGCCCTGATTACAAATCATTGCTTCATGTTGAAGTAATTTTTGATACTGAGAAGCACTCCTAACCTTTCCAGAAAGGTCAAACTCTTCATAGTTAATATCTATAGCAATTGTTGACAGTAGTTCGACTACTTAGATCACTCGGCCGACAACACCCCATTGTTATAAGGAAGTGAATGTAACAGCCAATTGTGGTTGCGAAAGACCTGTACTTGAATATGCAGGGACAGTTTGGAATCCCTGTACATACCTAGAAAACAAACTAGAAAAGCTACAAAAAAGAGATACTAGATTTTAAAACAGACAAACAATCTCAAGCAGAAGGTTCCACAAGATATTGAAAGAGCTTAAGTGGAAATCACTGAAAGATGGAATCAGAGAAAACTAAAATATATAAATGATTCACCAAGGATCATATACATCAACTAAATAGTAAAGCCAACACTCCAACAACAGTTGAACACATATTGTATAGAATTATTGTAACAGTCACAACCAACAATTCAGCATCTTATTAGCTTAAATAAACTCTTTCAAATATAGCTTATCCCAAGCTTGTCACGGAATAGAAGTTCCTTCATAATATAAGTTCCAAAAGGAATATATATTCTGGAATATTATTTCCACAGGAATAAATATTACAGTATATGTTCCTAACGGAATAAATAGTACAGAATATTTGTTCCAACAGGAATAGATATTATGACATTGTTTATAACAAAGTTTCCAGTGGAACTTCTGTTAGGCGGAACAAATATACGTTGACAGCACCATCAGAGAATGGAATATATTTTGAATTTCTTTTTTGGATCAAGTTGCAAAAAATCTGCAGTCTCAAAAGAAAGTTAATAAACATCATGAACATTTCTTCTTCTTCTTCCCAGTATTTAGGAACCAAATTCAATAATGAATGTATATTTGTAGGATTTAATAATGTCCCCCATGAAATAATGTCTGCCGAATATTTTTTCATAGCAAATACTGTCCATGGCCATGGACAATATTTACTAATTTTAATGTGTCCTGGACACAATTACCTATGAAAAAATGTCCTAAGCTGTGAAAAATTGTCCATGTTATCACTGGACATTTTTTCATAGAAAATACTGAACTTGGATAAAAAGACTGAACGTGTTAAAAATGTTTTTTTACTAAAATATCAATAAAATGTTGAAGTTGAGCATACTGATTCTGTTTCCAGTTGCATGGTGGCTGCCACGAAAACAAACATAAAAAATAAAATAGTTTAATTGGTGGTAAAATTGGGATGCAGGATGTTGGACTTGCATAATTTAAAAGATCGAACCTGTTGAAAATACCTTTCTAAAACATCAATAAAATGTAGCTTATCACACATGCGGTTCAGTCTACTTTCACTTTCTTCTTTCGCTTTTGGAATTTATCAAAGTTACCAAGGCGTTTAAAATAATAAGTATTTCACCCATTCAATTCAAGCTTAATTTTGACAAGTTTAACAATAAATTACTTCCCTTGCTGAAAACGGTACTGCCAGTAAATAATATTTGCCGATAAAAATATTCAAGTGTTTGAAAGGGATTGAAGTCCTAGATTTTATAAATGTACTAGAAATTAAGTCTTCATACAGGTCATCATTGTTGCATAGTCATGGACAAACGACTATACTCTCACTCAGTATTAAATTGGACATTATATTTCAATATCATTTGGGACTTGCCTACAGAAAATAAATTTTGTACAAAATATATAATTTGTAGACAAAACTAAAACTGCCTTTGTTAGTGTTGTAATGCAATGATAAGTGTTTGTTCGTGGCTTAGTGGTTTAGACCGATGGAGGTTCCAGGTTCAATCCTAATTAAGTGCTATGGAAATTTCAGTACATTTGAAGGGTGATTTTCGCCAAAAATCAAGTTTGCTCCCATTCACGTTTGTCCCATTTTCATGTTCACACACGTTTTATTACATGGACACTATTCTCTATGCATTGCCTATATTTTATTACTATTGACAGAATGTCTAGTGCCTGTGGTTCATGTGGACCATTTGGCTAAAATGGCTGCATTTTCACCTCAAAATTTACTCGGAGTACAGACAAACCTGTGTATCTGGAATAATTTTAAGGCATAGCCTGCTTTAGATAAATAAAATTAAAATACAGTTTATGTTAAAGAAAATTAAAAACTTAACTGGATTTTGCAGTGCACTTTTTTTCATTCCTCCAGAAAAAAAATAGGGACCTTGGTGCGAGTGTGTAGGGTGTGAACGGACCAAGGTGGCGCAAGTTTGGGGTGCGAATGTATCCAGGGGGCGCACTTGTGGGGTGGGAATGTGTAGGAAGTGAACGGAACCGATATCAGGTTGGTCAAAGTGCCCCACTTTGACCTGGGGATAAATCTGCAGAGATATCTCTTCCGCATGTCTTCAAGCCAAGGAGATAGGTGGTTCTGTCTGAGTACTTTAGCTCCTCTGCCATATTAACACACTTCCCTGTGTCCTTACACTCCTTTGGGGTTGGGATGGAGATTGTCCATGGTGGTGGGTTGTATATGAGTTAAGTATATTTCATAAATACTTATTTAGAGTGAATCCAGATTCCGCTGATCAAATCACAGAGTTATTGGCATACATATGTACAATATATAATATTATTTATCAGAAACAATAGTTTAGTCATGTCTTGTTGTGTTGGTGTCCAAGTGGTCTAAGTTCTTAAAGTAGTCAAACTACTGTACATGTATCACTAGCTTGTCAACACTGAAGTTGTGAGTTTGAATCCTGCACATACCTGGTGTACTCAACTCCAATCATAATTGACTAGGATAGTCAGTTTTCCTACTGATTCAGTGGTTCTCTCTGGGCATTCTGGCTTCCTCCACCAATAAAAACTGATTGCCAGGAAATAGCACTATAGTGCTGAAAATGGGATTAAACAACAATCAATCAATCAATCAGAAAAATCATATATTGCTTTTATTCATGAAGTTTATGGTTGAAAAAATTAATAGGTACATGAAAGAATCTGTTTCCTGAAGACTTAAAAAAATACTTTTGGTATAACCTTGTAGTCCCTCTTAAAACACATGAACAGCGTGCAGGAAATTTTTTTTAAAGAAAATGATCATCCTATGTCAACAATTATCTGTAAAATCTACTATATATTGTAAGGTGTACAATGTATATGTGGATATAGTAAGTGTATAGTACTGATGCTGTTCCTTGTTCTAAAGTGAAGATTTTAGATACATACATGTACATGCTTTACGAATGTATATACATTTAGATCTTAAAGATCTGTACAAAATGTATTTTCAATGATTTAGTTGATAAATTTCCTAATGTTCTGTCATTTCAGGTACATGTAGGAAGATTTAACTGACTGTTAATGTGGTAGTGATGTTGATGATCATGTAATACATCTTATACTCTTTAGCACTTACCATATATATAAATTGGTGTGTGAACTAGTAGAATGGAGGAGACAAGTGACACAGAAACTGATACAAGCAGTATTAAAACGGAAACTAGCGATACAAAAAATGATGCTAGTGATATTAAAACAGAGGTTAGTGATTTTAAAACAGAGGTTAGTGATACAAAAATTGAGGCTAAAGATATAAGAACAGAATCATGTGACCAAGGTGATGTCAACAAAGCTGTGGATGATGACATAGAACAATTAACATCTGAACACAATGATGGAGAATATGATGAGATAAATGAAAATAACACAGATACAGATATAGATGAACTGAATTCTTATAGTCAACTTGGACAAGACTTACCACAAAACGTAATTGAAGGACAGAAACCAAAGTTAAGTGAAAGTTCTAGTGATGGAATGATATCAAACAGTCCATCGGTAGAAATGAGATCCCGCCTGACTTCAGCTGAAGATACTGATTCTACTATCAAGCCAGGTAATCAAAAGGATTCTGATAGTTCCGATAGCAAGAGCATAGAAACCCTGGACTATACAAGTAGTGAAGATAAAAGTATAGAAACAATAGATAGTGAAGACGACAGACAGATAGGAGGTAATTCAGATGTTCAAAATCGTCCTGAAAGTTTGATACTTAACAAAACAGTGAATCATGAAAAGAGAAGGAGTCGAAGTGATGACCATAAGAAGATTGACACCACCAGGACTATGAGTAGCAGCACTGCAGTTGATATTCCATTAAGAAGAGACTCTGAGTTTGAGAATATTGAAGAAACCATGTTGTCAAAAAGTATGCCTCATGGTACAGTGACGAGGAAGGGTGATATGATAGAGTTTGTTGCTGATGACTTGCAGGAAATGATCAAGAGAAGTAGTCCTCTGACTCAGACAGGTATAATTCAACATATCCAGATTAGAAATCATGTTTTATAAAAGTGTTTCTCTAGCCAAATTACACAAACACAAAAACATTCTCCCATAAAAAATTTGTGCGAAGGATCGCTAATGGTTATTAAAGTGATAAAATCATTCTAAGAGTATTGTAAATGCAATACAGTGTCATCTATCAGCAGGAACATTTAATGATTTTACTCTGATATGAAACTGGCATTCAATTATGAGGGAGGTCTGAGGAAATTTCAATTTAACCTTGTTGCAGATGTTGCTAGAAAATTTCCTCTCCATTAGGGGAATGAAAATGAAATCAAAACATTCAGTCATTTATACAGATAGAAATTATGAAGAACATAGAAATTTAGAAAACATAAGTGTGGCAGATATGAATTAGGGCCACAAATTAAATGATTTTTTTACTGGAATTAAAGTCAAACTCTCATGATATGACTATATACTGAATGCCAATAGGAATGCAACCCTTTCATGTATTTTTATTACCAAAAAAAAAAAGTTTGCCTAAAATAAGTTAAAGCATGATGTATGAATTTTTGCTATATTTCTGCTTTGTCAGCTTCAAGTGAAACAAGTAGCAGACGGTCCAGTCTAAGAAGTTATTCTAGTGTATCCAGTTCCACATCTTCTGCCATAGGTACAGCATCAGGGGTGTCTCGATCACCAAGTAGTCTGTTCCAACAAAGTCCTGATGACATTCCACCAATTGACCCTCAAGCAGTTCATGACCTTGAAATGCATGCACTTAAAGTGGCAGACAACCTTGACCTTTTAATGGGAAATTTAAAAACAAACTTGCACAAGGTATTATTACTTCACAAATTATTCATGTTATGATAATTTAAAAAATCAGATATAAAACACAAGTTATCTCCCTTGATAGATATTCCTTTATGCAGTAATTTGTGAGTAAATAAGTTTAGTCACATACTTGTGGTATTTGTTGTCTGATTTCTATTATAAAGTAGTGTTATCCATATTTCATATATGGTATGTGTGTCTTTGATATAGAGCTTTAATGTAAATTAAAATGATATAAACTGTAGATAAAATTGAAAAATAACAATCCTTGCCGTTTTCTTGCAGAGAGAAGTTGTGCTGTTAATGAAATTAGGGTGGTAATAGCAACTTCATATGAATAAATTGAACACCCTAATGAGATATTTCTGTTTGTCATTGCTGGGCTAAATTGGATCATGGTCGAAGTGAATATTGAAAAAAGAGTTGCAGCAAAGAGCAAAGTTTATCTTGCCTTAGTAAGAGTGTGTGTTGTTTTGATTTTTCATAAATTAAGAGAGCCATATGCATCCCAAAGCATGCCTTCTTGGATAATTGAAATCGAAGTAATCTGTGTCCTACACATTTTCATTACTTAGTTCAGAATTGATGTCTTTTGTTTTTATTATTATAGATGTCAGCTATAACAGTGGGATGTTTGAGTGCATATAAAACATCAGTAGATACAACCTGTGATTCAGTCGATGGAAGTATTAAGGTATGAATAAAAATCAATGCATGCAACTAGTTTAGCTTCAAAGCAAATTTCTGATAAGGTAATTAAAGTAGAGTTGTTACTTCAGTTCTGACCCATCAATTAATATGGCCACCAGTTCGCTAACTTTTAATAATACTGTGAAAGATATGTCATAATTGCTCTAATGATCTTTACTGCTATTTGTCTACAAAGGCAGGACATCACAGACCTTCCTGTAAAATTTAAACTTGCATAAAAATATTGCATGCTATAGTTTAATAATGATAGTTGCATGACAGATGTAAAATAAAGTGTTACCGATTTCTCATATTAAATGTCACAAAATTCCAAATAGGAATGATATGTAAAAGCAACTGGGTACTATTTTAAGAAAATGAAAAAAAATATTCAAGATTGACTATTATATGAGAATTAAAGTGTCTTTATTCTGTGTTGCCAGTTTCATCTAGCCTACAAAACTTGCCAAGTATACATGTTTTGTACTGCTTCACAAAATTGCTGATTAAAAAGGACATATTTGCACCTCCACAGGCATCTTCTGTTTAAATCATAAAGTTACTTCTATCAAACTGCAAGGAAATTAAAATTATTCTATGAGTAGTAATGTTTCTTAATTTAGCTAACAACAGAAAATCTGTCGCATAATTTTACCAAACAGGTCTTGTCAGAAAGAATTAAACTACAAAATTAATACATTTTAGAATTTTAATTCATACCCAATCAACAGCTATTTGGGGGCACACAAATACATATAACAATTAAGTTTATTGTATAGCAAAATAACATTTCCCACAGAATGTACTGTAAAGCTAACATGCAACATTGTATGATATTGCAATGAAAAAATTAAAATAACACGTTATAAATTTCATTTGTCCGAAGCACTTTTCTTGATTTACCTTCATCAGACACTCCCAAAGCCAAATATTTGAAAGCCAAGGATGCATAAGAACCAGCAGTTGAAGAACTATATAACCAATAAGGACCTAAATAAATTGCCAAATCCATCCAAGATCAACTTTGCAAATATAACTTGAAATTATCAAGATTACTAGAACACACCCGCGAAATCGCGGGCATTTAGAGCTTGGTTAAAAGTACGTATACTGTTGTAGGATGAATTTTTGTAACAGATTTTATGTCTGGAGAATTTCAGAAAAGGTATCAAAAGCCCTCACCCTTTTTTCCAAAGTCCCTTATTTGTTTCCTTTCTGTTAAATTCCATTATTTTCGCGGTTCTGGCTTCAGACCACAATTATTCTTCCCCTTTGCTACTGAATTTTTTTGGTAAAAGTCAAATCAAATTAAAAAAATTGCACCGTTTCAAACATGAAATAAATGTAACTAATATACCATTATTGTTCTAATAAAATATGCTTCTAGGACAATCCATCAGTGCTTGCTTCTTTTGAGAGCCCTATTAACATGCCAATGGTAGTTTTTGAATCTTGAATAAATGACTAAGGCTAATTTCTACCCTACTTTCATTTTGGCCAAATCACTACTTTCACTTTCAACAATAAATTTTTTCCACATGTTTTACTTATTTATATATGCAACTGATATGACCCCTTAAATAGTAAACATTTCGAAGAAAACAGTAGACAGAATACTTAGGAAGCATTACCCCATATCATAATTGGGAATTATATTCCAAGACCACGAACAAAGGGAATTAATTGTGGTCTGAATTAAGCCTTCTGTAAACTATGAACATACGTATATTATAAATAAAGTGTATTTGCTTTTAACTATCAATTCCAAGTTTCTACTCCACAGCGATCACTGCTATAATTATATAGAGAGTCTTTATATATATTATAGTAGTATAATCATATAATACATGTAGATAAATGCGAAAATAATTGTTAAGTTTAAAACCGGAAGTCTTATATACGACTAAAGTCAGTCTGATTACGGAAACAATATCCAGACGCTTTTTTTTTTCGTTTTTCTCCCAAAATAACTCAATCTGAATAATCGTAAGAATGGATGATAAATGCGACTATACATGGTACCTATAGGACACAGAGGCATGATGATTAATTTATTGAGGAAGGAAGAGAAGCGACACACAAAATGAGGTCTTCTCGTTTAATAGTATAGATAATTGACAAAATTTGCTTTTATCAGTTTTCAAGCTATACAATTAAAAGGTTATGGCATGTAAATTGGTGAATATTATCCCGTGTAGAATATATATTGCAATTACAATGTAGTGCGATATAAAAATCTACTCAGGACAATATTCCCCAATATTTATACAATAACCCAATAATAAAAAATGATAAACATATTGTTTCACATACTGTATAGACACCTGTCAATTATTGATCCTTTAATTGTCTTGGTTGCTCTCATTGAGTTGCCATTTCACTTCTCCTTTTATTCATATATACTGATTGAACTGATAAAAGAACACATAAAAATACAAGTCACACGACAGGTGATATATCCGAGGAATTACATAATTATATAAAGCACAATGTTGATAGCATAGAGTTTGTTATGTTCACAGTAAACATATTGGATTTTTTGTTGAAAGAAAGTAACTGTGCTCAACAATCTTTTACAAAAATAATTTGAATATCTTTTTCTTTTTCAGTCCATGTATGCTTTAATGGCAAAATGTGAAGAATTAAGTAACAGCATGAAACCAGTGAACAAACTAGCAGAACAAATGTATCCTTACCATTGCTTTGTTTTAGGGAGGATATAGTACCTTAGACACACCTTACAAGGCAAAAATTTTAATGACACAGAAACTAATATGAATTTCTGTTTGGCACTGTAGGCATCTTCTACTTACTTTAATTATCTTAATAAATTTATGAGTATGTTTGGTTTAAAAACTGGACATACTGATTTTCTTTTCTAAAATTTTACATGGAAAATTATTGGCTGGATTTTGGCTGGGTTGGACAAAGTCTAAAACGGGCTTATAGTATGTGATGTCAGGCTGGGAAAAGTGGGTACCTATTTTATGTAATTAACTCCTATAGTTTTCTACCCATATCCCTAAAACTTCACAGAAAAAATGCCCACATATTGAAATTGTGCACCTACTGTTATAGAATTATTTAAGTAATTTTTTCCCCATTTATCTGTACTTAGGAACAGTCATTTCTCAGCACAATTTTCAAAAGATGTTACCTATTATGTGTAATAACCCCTACCCTCCTACAGTTTTCAACCCAGATTTTTAAAATGTCACAGAATGATTGCACATATATTGCAGTTAGTCTCCTGGTGATATGGAATTGTTTGAGAAATTTTTCCCAAATTCCACACTTTGGAACTTGGTATTTTTTTAGCAAAGTTTTCAAGATTGTACTTATTTTTGTTTTCAAAGTGATCTTTGGAACTTCACAGAAAGTTTGCAAACCTATTGAGGTTGTGCTCCCTCCATTACTGAAATAATATTTTTTGTTCATTTTTGTAATTTATATTTCCATAAATATTTAGAAGTTCAGTAGACCATTCTCCATTGTTTCAGAAACATTGTGCAACCAGGCCATTGGAGTCTTTGATCCACTTTGTTTTCGGAGAACAAAATGAATAAATGGCTTTTCTAGAAACAGAATAGAAGACTAGGTTTACTAAGAACAATGCAAAACTGGGTTTTCAAAGAAAGAAAAACAGCTGGTCTTTTCACACAAATTATCTCGACCAAATTGATTGAATAAAAAGTAAGCATGAATTGTTCTAGACGAATAAATGATTTGCATCATGTTTTTATGCCACCACCACTAAGTGACATAAGCATTAGGTGTAACACGTATCTGTCATTTTGGCTTGAAATAAAAAGTTATCTGCAGATTTTGTTCAAATTTTGGATATGTTAGTGTAAGTTTATGCCTTACAGATTGATTTGGGGTGTCTGTCCAGTGGACCAACTTTTGGCAGAATAATGACCCTTGGAATTACAAAAGTTCATGAACATTGTACTTGTCAGGACATTTTTGTCTCGCCTGGGACGAAAGTCGCAGAATGCGAGACATAGGTATTACTATCCTGCATGAATTGCAATAATTAATCTCGCATTTTAGTCGATTCTACAAAATTCCCAATAATAAATGCACGCAATAATTTCTGAATTTACAGTATGTGCAGAGATAGTTTTAGTTTTAAGTCACAAGTATAAACTAATAATTTTTGATTCCTTAACATTGCCACAGTAAAGAAATAAAAAGACTACTAGACAGATTTGAAACACAGATTGCAGACAAACCATGAACGAAGAGTTACTTGTGTATATTTTCATTAATATTTGTCATATTGTTGCCAGATAATAATTTCATAGTGCCAATCTGCCTCTGCTACAATTAACCTTTTTCTATACTACCAAGGTTCACATATTTTTCATTGTATCTGTGGAAATTGACCTCATTAAATTTATTTTTCATTTTCTCTTATTTGATAGCAAAAAGGCACAAATTGAGTAAGCCTTTCATCTCAGTTGGGTAGCAAAATTTTTTAATATATGTGGAAAGATTAACAGAAATCATAGTTGTTATGTTGTGTACGTCTCAAAATATTAAGCTGAGTTTGGGTTTTTAAAGTGATGTCCCAAATCAAGTTTGATTTTTTGTATGGATGAATCAGTCCACTCTTGGTCAAATCTTATTGACTAACAGATTGGTGTTTTGTGTCCTTGTGGCACATCTGTAGCTATGTTTGATCTGAGTTTATTAAAAATTTTAAATAGAAATAATAGGAAAGAAAAAAAGATTGAAAAATAGAAAGACTCTATTGACTTAAAATCATACTTCTGTTCAACAATAAAATAATATCTTCAAGGGTTAGTGCAATAGATCACAAAATTATTACTGTTAATGTGTCGTAATATGAATCTGTTAATTGTTAATTAATTATAAAGTGTTGTAGTACAAATGTATGTATCTGTTGATTGTTAATAAATTATATGACATTCCAAATGTGTCTTTCATTGTCAATTACTTATCTTATTTAACAAATCTCAATAACCAGTGCTTCAGTGATATGAGAATCTATCAAACTTAGTAAGGGGCCTCGGTGGCCGAGTGGTCTAGGTAGTTACTACTGTAATCACTAGCCAGTCAACACTGAGGTTGTGAGTTTGAACCCCGCTCGTGCAGTTGCACTTGACTCCAATCTTAATTGACTAGGATTGTCAGTTTTCCTATCGAAGGTCATGGTTTTCTCGGGGCACTCCGGCTTCCTTCACCAATAAAAACTGGCCTCCATGAAGTAGCCCAAAAGTGGTGTTTAAAAGTGGCGTTGAAACACCAAAAATCAAATCAATCAAACCTAGTAATAAAATGCTTCGCTGGGGCGCAGCTTGATACGACCGCAGAGGTCGAACCCTGAACAGTTGGGGCAAGTATGGACACAACATTCAAGCTTGATACAGCTCTGAATTTGGATTGTTATTAAATATTTGACACAGCATAGGTTTCTGACACAGAAAGAATGTGGTCTAAGAACTTGAATTTTTTTAATTTACCTATTATGGTCCAATGTCCAAAATCAAAATACATGGTTAGATTCAGCATATCAAAGAACCCCATATATTCAATTTTTGTTGAAATCAAACAAAGTTTAATTTTGGACCCCAACTTGGACAAACTTGAAAACTGGGCCCATAATCAAAAATCTAAACACATGTTTAGATTCAGCATATCAAAGAACCCCAAGAATTCAATTTTTGCTAAAATCAAACTAAGTTTAATTTTGGACCCTTTGGACCTTAATGTAGACCAATTTAAAAAACGGGACTTAAAATTAAAAATCTAAATACACGGTAAGATTTGGAATATCAAAGAACCCCAATAATTCAATTTTTGATGAAATCAAACAAAGTTTAATTTTGGACCCTTTTGACCTCAATATGAACCAATTTGATAGCGGGGCCCACAAATAAAAAATCTAAATTCATGGTTAGATTCAGCATATCAAAGAACCCCATATATTCAATTTTTGTTGAAATCAAACAAAGTTTAATTTTGGACCCCAATTTGGACCAACTTGAAAACTGGGCCAAAAATCAAAAATCTAAATACATGTTTAGATTCAGCATATCAAAGAACCTCATATATTCAATTTTTGCTAAAATCAAACAAAGTTTAATTTTGGACCCTTTGGACCTTAATGTAGACCAATTTGAAAACTGGACCCAAAATAAAAAATCTAAATACACTGTTAGATTCGGCATAACAAATAAATAAATGTGATCAAAGATTTTACAAATCTAATGCGCCATACTGTGCAATTAAAGATTACTTCTTGAAATTTTTCAATATTTGAAATTTGAAAAAAAAATAATATTTGAAGAATAATTCTTTTTAAATTTCTGAAATCTGAAATGAGAAAAAATTGACCCCCCACAATTTCTTTTTATACCCCCCCCCCCCCCTTTTTCCCCAAAAAAAATCTTTCCCTCAAGATATGGTCATAATCTCAATTCAAATTTCCAATGGAGTTGGCAACCATAATTACCCATTTAAATTTACCATAGTGCTAACTTAATCTATTATATAATAGAATTAAAAATATAGTGTCAAATCTTTCATATGGATTTTTTTGTAAAAAAAAAAAAATGCAACATTTGCAGATATTTTTACTGGTCTTCCTTTATAAATATGCATTTCTTTAAACATAATTTAAAAGCAGTGTAAGGGAAGTAACCAGAACGTTGTATTTGGATTACCTCCCTTACACTGTTTTAAATTATCTTTATTGTTCATTAACCATTACTTTATACATAATTTAAAAGCAGTGTAAGGGAGATAATTTCAATGATGTATTTGATTTATCTCCCTTACACTGCTTTAAATTATGTTTTGTACTAAAGTATTTGTCCATTAACCAGGACAACCTTGTTTTCCCCCTTTTTTGCCCCTAATTCCTTAACGGTTTGAGCCATAACCCCTCAAAGCAAATCCTAACTATCCCTTTGTGGTATGGAAACTTGTAGTATAATTTCAGAGAGATCCATACACCGTTCCACAGTTATTGTCTGGAAACTAGAAAATGCTTATTTTTGGCCCCTTTTTGGCCCCTAATTCCTTAACTGTTGGTACCATAACCCCCAAAATCAATCCTAACCTTCCTTTTGTGGTATTTAACCTTATGGTCAAATTTCAAAAAGATCCATTCACTTAAACTAAAGTTAGAGTGCCAAAAACAATGTGTCTTCGGACGACGACGCCGGACGACGACGACGCCAACGTCATACCAATATACGACCACAAAATTTTTTTGCGGTCGTATAAAAACAAGAATGCACGTGTGGCAGTACTCATTTGGCAATTCAAAGTATCTGCTAACTAGAAGTAGAAGTATGACAGATCCCAAAAGTGCTCACACTTTACAACTTATCACTGTTAAGCAACTAGCCAAATATGAAGTCATTCTGTTCAGTTGTACTGGAGAAATGTGTTAAAAAAAATTATTTTCATTTAACATACTGTATTGAAAAGTTCAAAGTATCAGCAAAACAGAAAGTACAGTAGGTGTCTGACAGATCTGAAAAGTGTCTACAGGTTACAAGCAGAAAGTACAGGTAGGTGTCTGACAGATCTGAAGAGTGTCTACAGGTTACAAACAGAAAGAACAGTAGGTGTCTGACAGATCTGAAAAGTGTCTACAGGTTACAAACAGAAACTACAGGTAGGTGTCTGACAGATCTGAAAAGTGTCTACAGGTTACAAACAGAAAGTACAGGTAGGTGTCTGACAGATCTGAAAAGTGTCTACAGGTTACAACTTATCTCTGTCAATCTGCTGACCAAATATGAAGTTATTCTGTTCAATAGTACCTCAGAAAAGTGTGAAGGACACCTTTGTTGGGAAAACGTATAATCGAAAGGATAAGCGAACAGAATGATGAACACAAGGGCCAAAAAATTGATGCATGAACAAAAGGATGAAAGATCCGACAGATGGAGGGACAAGGTGAATGCAATAAAGCCCCTACTCCTGGAGTGGAGGTATAAAATTTATAAATTAACATGAATAAATGTTGACCCCTATTAGTAATCAAGGTTCAAGGTTGAAAATTAACATAGGAACAAAAGTAGAAGTATGACAGATCCCAAAAGTGCTCACACTTTACAACTTATCACTGTTAAGCAACTAGCCAAATATTAAGTCATTCTGTTCAGTTGTACTGGAGAAATGTGTTAAAAAATTTATTTTCATTTAACATACCATATTGAAAAGTTCAAAGTATCAGCAAAACAGAAAGTACAGTAGGTGTCTGACAGATCTGAAAAGTGTCTACAGGTTACAAGCAGAAAGTACAGGTAGGTGTCTGACAGATCTGAAAAGTGTCTACAGGTTACAAGCAGAAAGTACAGTAGGTGTCTGACAGATCTGAAAAGTGTCTACAGGTTACAAGCAGAAAGTACAGGTAGGTGTCTGACAGATCTGAAAAGTGTCTACAGGTTACAAACAGAAAGTACAGTAGGTGTCTGACAGATCTGAAAAGTGTCTACAGGTTACAAGCAGAAAGTACAGGTAGGTGTCTGACAGATCTGAAGAGTGTCTACAGGTTACAAACAGAAAGTACAGTAGGTGTCTGACAGATCTGAAAAGTGTCTACAGGTTACAAACAGAAACTACAGGTAGGTGTCTGACAGATCTGAAAAGTGTCTACAGGTTACAAACAGAAAGTACAGGTAGGTGTCTGACAGATCTGAAAAGTGTCTACAGGTTACAACTTATCTCTGTCAATCTGCCGACCAAATATGAAGTTATTCTGTTCAATAGTACCTCAGAAAAGTGTGAAGGACACCTTTGTTGGGAAAACGTATAATCGAAAGGATAAGCGAACAGAATGATGAACACAAGGGCCAAAAAATTGATGCATGAACAAAAGGATGAAAGATCCGACAGATGGAGGGACAAGGTGAATGCAATAAAGCCCCTACTCCTGGAGTGGAGGTATAAAATTTATAAATTAACATGAATAAATGTTGACCCCTATTAGTAATCAAGGTTCAAGGTTGAAAATTAACATAGGAACAAAAGTAGAAGTATGACAGATCCCAAAAGTGCTCACACTTTACAACTTATCACTGTTAAGCAACTAGCCAAATATTAAGTCATTCTGTTCAGTTGTACTGGAGAAATGTGTTAAAAAAAATTATTTTCATTTAACATACTGTATTGAAAAGTTCAAAGTATCAGCAAAACAGAAAGTACAGTAGGTGTCTGACAGATCTGAAAAGTGTCTACAGGTTACAAGCAGAAAGTACAGGTAGGTGTCTGACAGATCTGAAAAGTGTCTACAGGTTACAAGCAGAAAGTACAGGTAGGTGTCTGACAGATCTGAAGAGTGTCTACAGGTTACAAACAGAAAGTACAGTAGGTGTCTGACAGATCTGAAAAGTGTCTACAGGTTACAAGCAGAAAGTACAGGTAGGTGTCTGACAGATCTGAAGAGTGTCTACAGGTTACAAACAGAAAGTACAGTAGGTGTCTGACAGATCTGAAAAGTGTCTACAGGTTACAAGCAGAAAGTACAGGTAGGTGTCTGACAGATCTGAAGAGTGTCTACAGGTTACAAACAGAAAGTACAGTAGGTGTCTGACAGATCTGAAAAGTGTCTACAGGTTACAAGCAGAAAGTACAGGTAGGTGTCTGACAGATCTGAAGAGTGTCTACAGGTTACAAACAGAAAGTACAGTAGGTGTCTGACAGATCTGAAAAGTGTCTACAGGTTACAAGCAGAAAGTACAGGTAGGTGTCTGACAGATCTGAAGAGTGTCTACAGGTTACAAACAGAAAGTACAGTAGGTGTCTGACAGATCTGAAAAGTGTCTACAGGTTACAAACAGAAACTACAGGTAGGTGTCTGACAGATCTGAAAAGTGTCTACAGGTTACAAACAGAAAGTACAGGTAGGTGTCTGACAGATCTGAAAAGTGTCTACAGGTTACAACTTATCTCTGTCA